AAATCTGAGAGCTTTCTGACCCTGCATAGACAGCAATGCAACTACCACATTCAAGGCACAGTAAGGACATCGTTAAAATAGTCCATGTGACATCAGTGGTTCAACCTTAATTTTATGAAGCTACGAGAATACAACAAAAATAACGACTTTATTCAACAGTTTCTTCTCTTCCGTGTCAGTCTTCGATGCGCGTTCACAAGAGTACCACAACGCATGCTTGTGATGCTGCTGACGCAGGAGCCGGCGTTCTGACGGAGAACGTCCATCTCTCTTAGTTCATCATCTGTATATTCTGGTTCAGATAAGTAATGCTGGGCAAAAACTTGAAAGTCATCCTCTCTGTCGAAATCTTCAGACATGTTTCCGAAGACTGTTTTATGTACAGCGTGCGTCTTCCTCTGCTTGTAAACAAGGTGCAGCGCATCCGGGTCCTACGGCAGAACATCAGAACGCGTGCGTCGTGGAACTCTCGTGAACACGCGGCGAAGTCTGTCACGGGAGAGAAGAAATTGTTGAATAAAGTCGTTATTTTTGTTTTCTTTGCGCACAAAAATCTTCATAACATTACGGTTGATCCATTGATGTCACATGGACTATTTTAGCAATGTCCTTACTACCTTTCTGGCCCTTGAACATGCAGTTGCTGTATATGGAGGGTCAGAAAGCTCTCAGATTTCATCAAAAATATCTTAATTTGTGTTCTGAATATGAACGAAGGTCTTATGGGATTGGAACGACATGCAGAACTATCTCTTTAACACACTGGAATTTGCGCTGTGCTTCTGTCAACGGTGAACCCTGCCTACTTTGATTTGATTGGCCATCTCAATCGACCAATCATTTATGTTTCTCTTTTTCTACCAGACGTGGATCCGCTGATCATGCTACTGGTCCTTTTCATCGGACTGATCCTCTGCCTGCTGTCTATGACTGTGATTCTGTCCCACCACAAGTCAGTTTTCACGAGCACACGCACCTTTACTAGCTATCTAAATGAGGACAAATGTATATATATACTATTATGGGGGACACTTTTGTCCTTTAATCATAGTTCAATAAAGGCTGATTAAGGTTTGTTGTGCATGTATGGATGGACAGAGAAACATGTAGGCTACTGAAACAATTTCACGTGATGTAACTGTGGAATATTTATATTTCAAGAATTAAATTATAAAAAAAAGTAACAGTTTCTGTGCACTTTACAGATTTCTTCTTAAGAAACTCTGGCCTGACATCCCGTCACCAGAGCACAAGTTTCCAGGTCTTTTTACCATCTACAAAGGAGATTTTAAGGTAATTTATTCTTTTTTTTTTTTTAAAGAATGTCAATATAGAGTTATTTTGAATTTCAGTAATATTTACAGTGAACAACATAGTTACTAGCCAATGTCAATAATATCAAAATAGCCAAATAATGGGGATTTTTAAGGTAATTAATTATTTTTTTTTAAAAGAATGTCAATATAGGTAGGCGCATTTATGTTTAATTTAACCAAAATGATGACTGTTGAATAAACAACATTTTAAAAAAAAGAATTAATACTTTTATTCAGCAAGGATGTATCGCTAATTTCAAAATAGCCAAAAAAATGGCTTATTAAATGTCCTGGTTGATATCAGTCTATAATAACATGAGCCAGGATCTGACCTCTTAAATACAACAGATTATTGTTTATTATTAAATTTTTAGTCAATGAAGGACAATATTTGACGTCAACAGCTGTGTGCATGGGTAGGAAAGCTGATTGGAACTGAAAAACCACTGATCATTACTAGCGCTAGATGTTTAGTAATTAACTGTGTTTCCTCTACCCTCAGGAGTGGATGAGCCAAAATAATGGCAGTATGTGGGGCAGATCAGTCCATGTGTACACAGAGGAGCTTCCTTCACCACTGGAGGTTTTGTCCGAGGTTTCCCTGACCAGCCACGGCACATCCCAGAGAGAGGAGAGGCAAGCTGTGGAGGAGGACAAGGAGAAGGAGAGCGAGCGTTCGGACTCGGGGTTAACGGACAGATGGCAAGAACCTCCTGAAGCTTACTGTCTCGTGGAGCAACTGAGGGCGCTTCAAGAAAACCCAGAATCTCTTTCCCAGTCATTGTTACTGCAGTCACATGACACCTACGTCACTCTCAATCAAAACTCCCAAGGAGATGACGAGCGACAGGTGGACGATGTCTTCGAGGAGACGTTACCGCTCCAGATGCTCTTCACCACCGCAGGAAGGATGTCCTTGAACACCTCGCACTCCGACCTCGGCTCCCTCCAGCAGAGCTCGGGTTCGGGCAGACTATCGTCCCAATCCAGCTTCGAGTATCCCAACCACACGTGGCCCCCCAAAGGGCCGGGATACGCCTACATGGCGGTCGCAGACTCGGGGGTCTCCATGGACTACAGCCCGATGAGCTCCAGCAGGATCGCGGCGCTCGGGAGACACAGGATGTACACAAATGATTACAAAAACGAGATTTTTCTCCACAAGTGGCCACTCTCCGGTCAACACACTCAATCCGGATCAGAGTCCTGCATGGGTCCCGGTTGGTAAACCTGCAATACCTAGGGATAGTCCACCCAAAAGTGATTATTCTGTCATCATTTGCTCACCTTCATGTCATCAAACCTGTATGACTTTCTTTCTTCTGTGGAACATAAAAGAAGATATTTTGAAGAATGTTGGTAACCAGATGCTGGTAGCCATTGACTGCCTTTTTTTTCTTCATCCATACAATAGAAGTCAAAGGGAACCAATATGTACACGACGTGTTCTGGATACAACTACTACAAATTCACATCAGGATCTCACTGGATTTTTCAGGAGAAAAAACACTCCATCCGATAAAATAAGCTAACATTATAGCATTACCATGGCAGCTGTTGATGAAACATTTATGTACAGCATACCACTAAAATACCAGTGGGGAGTTTTCTTTTTTACATATTTTTTTGTCTTTAATTATAAATACTTTAATTGGTGGCACTTTTCACAAATAGGGTTCATTTCCTTCACAACGGTTTGAAATATATATATATATATATATTTATATTTCAAACTGTTGTGAAGTTTATCGATATCTATAAACCAAGCTTACCCATTCCAGCACTATATATATATATATATGCTTAATTATCACCATTTTTGTTTTGTTTGTTTTTTGGCCTCTTTGTGGAAAGTGCCTGATGGCAGTTCATATATCATTCTGTTTTGGGTTTCCCAAGTCTGCATCTGTCTTGTAAATTGTTCATATATATATATTTTAAATGAAAATAACATTTTTCTACTCTGTTTTTGTGATTTAAGTTAATGCACATCTTTCAGATCTGTAAAACATTAAAGCCTAGAGGAGGAAGTCAGACTGAACATTCATTAGACCTTCTTTATAGGTCAGATAATTCACCCATCCAAACTTCTTCTGGTGCATTCTGGGAATGCTTGTATGGTTGATTTGGAACAGACCAAAAGTCACCATGACATTATTGACATTTGCAACTCTTTCTACTTGCAACAATTACTTTCATAGTTTCATCAGTTTTGTAACACAACATGAAAATGTTGCGGGGAGGTTTGATTAGATCGAGAACAGTGGGCGTTTCATACAAGAGTTTGCTGTTGATTATGGAGGACTACACCCTGCCTGAATCACCACTAGCACCCGACAGTCGAAACTTAACCAGCTTTGGTGGCATTAACTGAAAACATTCAAGTAATTTTTACTTTTGATAAAATATTATAAAGACATATTTTTAGTTCTGTTAAATAATGTGCACTGATGACTCATTCACAGTAAGAGCAAGAATGTGTATTAATAAAGTACATTTGTTTGTAATATGCAGTACATTCAAATTACTGTACAGAAACCTCCAGCATCAGTTTTACTTTAGTTTGTCGGTCTTTCTTTCTGTGTTCTATATTCTGTAATCCATAAGGTTAAACCAAATATGTGAACGGAGTTAATCAAGATGAATTGGTAATACCATTTTTAGTATGGAAACTTGCAAAAAAAGAGAAGATATTTATGCCATTTCTGACCACAATCACTAAGTGTTGTTTTATTTCACAATTGCACTGGTAATAAGATTGAAAACGTATGAATTAATCAGTTTCTAATTGTTCTTCACTTTTTTTCTATCAGCAATAAAGCTCCTATTTTGTTCTAGAATGAAAAGGATTTTTATTTCTAGCATAAACAGAAGGGATCTCACCCATTTCAGGTCTTCTCATTTCCACATGTTTTTAATGTTAAAGGGATAGTTCACTCGAAAATGAATGCTAACATTATAGCATTACCATGGCAGCTGTTGATGAAACATTTATGTACAGCATACCACTAAAATACCAGTGGGGAGTTTTCTTTTTTACATATTTTTTTGTCTTTAATTATAAATACTTTAATTGGTGGCACTTTTCACAAATAGGGTTCATTTCCTTCACAACGGTTTGAAATATATATATATATATATATTTATATTTCAAACTGTTGTGAAGTTTATCGATATCTATAAACCAAGCTTACCCATTCCAGCACTATATATATATATATGCTTAATTATCACCATTTTTGTTTTGTTTGTTTTTTGGCCTCTTTGTGGAAAGTGCCTGATGGCAGTTCATATATCATTCTGTTTTGGGTTTCCCAAGTCTGCATCTGTCTTGTAAATTGTTCATATATATATATTTTAAATGAAAATAACATTTTTCTACTCTGTTTTTGTGATTTAAGTTAATGCACATCTTTCAGATCTGTAAAACATTAAAGCCTAGAGGAGGAAGTCAGACTGAACATTCATTAGACCTTCTTTATAGGTCAGATAATTCACCCATCCAAACTTCTTCTGGTGCATTCTGGGAATGCTTGTATGGTTGATTTGGAACAGACCAAAAGTCACCATGACATTATTGACATTTGCAACTCTTTCTACTTGCAACAATTACTTTCATAGTTTCATCAGTTTTGTAACACAACATGAAAATGTTGCGGGGAGGTTTGATTAGATCGAGAACAGTGGGCGTTTCATACAAGAGTTTGCTGTTGATTATGGAGGACTACACCCTGCCTGAATCACCACTAGCACCCGACAGTCGAAACTTAACCAGCTTTGGTGGCATTAACTGAAAACATTCAAGTAATTTTTACTTTTGATAAAATATTATAAAGACATATTTTTAGTTCTGTTAAATAATGTGCACTGATGACTCATTCACAGTAAGAGCAAGAATGTGTATTAATAAAGTACATTTGTTTGTAATATGCAGTACATTCAAATTACTGTACAGAAACCTCCAGCATCAGTTTTACTTTAGTTTGTCGGTCTTTCTTTCTGTGTTCTATATTCTGTAATCCATAAGGTTAAACCAAATATGTGAACGGAGTTAATCAAGATGAATTGGTAATACCATTTTTAGTATGGAAACTTGCAAAAAAAGAGAAGATATTTATGCCATTTCTGACCACAATCACTAAGTGTTGTTTTATTTCACAATTGCACTGGTAATAAGATTGAAAACGTATGAATTAATCAGTTTCTAATTGTTCTTCACTTTTTTTCTATCAGCAATAAAGCTCCTATTTTGTTCTAGAATGAAAAGGATTTTTATTTCTAGCGTAAACAGAAGGGATCTCACCCATTTCAGCAAAGTCTTCTCATTTCCACGTTTTTAATGTTAAAGGGATAGTTCACTCGAAAATGAATGACTTTCTTTTGTATAACCTTTTCTTTTGTGTCGCCTAATTTCCAAGATTTAAGAAAATGTGTAGCACATTTTTTTTTTTTTTTTGCCCAAACGTGTATGAAAACAATTATGGAGCATTTGCAGATACTTGAGCAGAGCTTGAGAATGTGCTTCAAAACTGATTGCCAACTCATAAAACAGCTAGTAACTCATGTTCAATTATGAAAACCATGAAGAAGTGTCAAAAAACGTTGATTTTGGGAAGTGTACAAATTGTAAAAAATTATTATTGAAACCTGAAATTAAGTACTAAAGATTTTTTTTAAAAATGCAACAACCTTACTTCAGACATCACCAGATGATATACACTCGTATACTATTTAGTTTGACATCTAGAGCATTTTCTAAAAAGTAAGTATCACTTAACATTAGTGATATAACACCAGTTTTCTAATCTGTTTTTGGGGTTTAAGTTAATGCAAGGGTTTTTATTAAATGCAACAATCAAAAGTATACAAATAACAGTCCGTGAATAAAATGTAAAGTAGACGTGCAACAAATATGCTGACATTTGTTTCATACTTACATATGCAAACTTTAAACATTATGTAGTTTGTCAATGCTGCGGTATATAAATTCTGCAAGTATGAATTGATCATCTATCTGTATTTTGTCAAGAAAAGTTTACATTCCTTTGTCAACATCACAAGTAAACACGAACATTCCTATTGATCAAATATGGCTTGTCGAACTGAGAAACAATAATAGGTTGTATTGGAATAAGACTGTTTATTAGCCGTCTCCACATCTCTCATTTTCCTGTTTGCTTTCATCTGGCTGGTCCAGAATCTGCTGTTCTCCACCGATGACTGGGCTGAACTCCAGAGCACCTCCTGTCTGCAGCACCATGTGCCACTGCTGTACCTGCGAAGGACACCCGACTGACAGATACACCTGCCACTCGTTCTGCCCCGCCTCCCCGTCACGCTTCACTTCCTCTAACGTGCACCTCACCCGCAGGTAACGGTCCAGCACAGAGAGGAGAAGCTCAGGTGCCAGCACTTCACTGTCCCGACTGCCTTCACGTTCAGACTGAAAGGAGACCATGACCCTGCACAGGCCCTGGCCGTCTGCTCTGCTCTGCAGGATCTGGGTGAGGAAAGCAGCGGTGTCGTGCAGGAGGGCCGCTACATGGGCCACAGGGCTCAGGTCGTCCTGTAGGGGTCCAACTCGAGACCCGTGCAAATAATGATCCAGACTGTCCACGATAATCAGTGATGAAGGAGACGTGGCCTCGGATGCCAGCTCGTGAAGGGATGTTATATCTTCAAGAAGATCCTCCAAAGTCTTCACATACACAAACTTGACATTCTGTGCATGAACACGCATGGAAACATGAATTAGGTGACTTTATTTCAGAAAATTGTATATTTGGCATCTTATCAATATAGTCAATATTAAGCCTGCATCAGATCTGTAACACTAACATTGTCTTAAATAGTTTAATGAATGTTTAGAAATATAATATTATATATATATATATATATATATATATATATATACACACACACACACACTTTTTATGGCTCATGTATGAAGATGTATTACAAAGCCATGCAAATACATTTACAGGGTTTTTAAGACATTTCTGGCTGAATTACCTTGTATTACATATTCTTAATTATCATGACGCTCATTAAACAAACCATTATTATTACCTTCAGACTCTCTAGTTTTAATCCAGGTATTGAAGCCCTCAAAGAAACCGGTAGAGATTGAAAAGGGGTCTGTGTGAAAAACAGCACTTTGAGCCCCAGATCTGTGGCAGCTGTTACAGCTGCTAGAAATAACACAGATCTACTGATATTTACATCCCCGAGCAGCAGCAGTGTGTTTCCTTCGACGTGAGAGGGAAACATTACATCACTCGTGACATTTCCTGAGGCGAACCGTCTGAAAACGACTCCTAAAATATCAGCCATAACAAATTACTGCAGTTATTAATAGCGAGTATGACTTTTCTACAGCTACTGTACATGCTTCTTCTCCCGCGAACTTGACGTCGCACTGGCTACTGTTGGAACGGCGCATCTGATTGGCTACCATTAAAGAGAGCTGACTGTTGATTGGTCAAACCAAAGTGTCGGTTCAAATACGTACTAAGTCATCCTCGTTTTAAATTGCTAAAAATAATTTTATAGTAGATTTTTTTCATCTAAAAAACTATAGGATAAAAAATAGAACACTGAATACAATTGTAAAAATAAATAAATAAAATAAAATAATCCACTTCCTTTAAGGCTACACACCGCACTTCCCTTTAAGACAAAACATAACAACTCAACAGCTGATACGAAACATGGCGGCGGTAAACACAGACTCCAAAGCCACGGGAGAGCACATCAAAGCCATTTTGCGCCGCTGCAGGGGTCGACCGAGGCTGACAGACGCGGACCGTGCTCAGCGGCGGCTCGAATCGCGGAAGAAGTACGATGTGCGGCGGGTTTATCTGGGAGAAGCGCATCAGGTCTGGAGCGAGCTGCGCCGGCGCACGAGCCTGAGCGACGCGGGGCTCGCGGAGTATTTAATCCTGCTCAATTCTGCATATGGAGAAAAATACCAGCAGAAACACGGCAAGTACGTAGTCGGATTTCATGAACGCCCTATTTGATCATGCATCACTCAAAAACACTGTGCAGTAAATTGGATAAATGTGTTAACATTGCTATGCATGCATGCATACATACGTGGACTGTTGTGTGCACAGATATTTCTGTCTGATACAACAAAATTCGTTTTCCTTTTTTATCATGCAAGTGTTCTTTGGTAACCTGATGCTGCATTGTTTGTTTAGAGGCACCAAACAGTATTGCCATGTTTTTCCTGAAAAAATACTATACTGTTCATGGTATCTGTACTATAACCTGACCTCTTGTGTAGAACACAAAAAGAGATATTTAGCAGAAAGCACAAGCTATTTTCATTACAATGAAAGTGGATGGGAACCAGAGACAGCTGTGCTTGCTATTCAGCTTCTTTTGATCATGAATGGTGTAACATGTCTCTTGTGTTGTGACGGACAGAAGGAAAACCCTTCCTGAACAATGCAGCAGTCATGGGAAAGGTGAGTAATATTTATTAATTTAACCCTTATTCATTTTCAAAATAGTGTTTTTTAAGCCTCTCTCGGAATATAAACTACAGTTGAAAAGTTTGGGGTCGGTTAGATATTAGTTTTTTTGAAAGAAGCATCTTCTGTTCACCAAGGCTGCATTTATTTGTTAAAAATGCAGTAAAAACAGTAATATTGTGAAATATTATTACCATTTAAAATAACAGCTTTCTATTTGAATAGATTTTAAAATGTAATTTATTCCTGTGATGCAAAGCTGCATTTTCAGCATCATTACTCATCATGTCTTCAGTGTCACATTATCCTTCAGAAATCACTCTAATATGCTGATCTGCTGCTCAAAAAACATTTCTTATTATTTTCAAAGTTGAAAACAGTTGTGCTGCTTCATATTTTTGTGGAATAAAAAATTGAAATCTTTTGTAACATTATAAATGTCTTCACTGTCACTTTTGATCAGTTTAATGTGTCCTTAGTGAATAAAAGCAGTAATTTAAATAAAAAAGTAGTAGTTTATCATCTTGCTTTTTTATTTTTTTGTGCAGGGAAGAAGGTGTCTGCCACCAGTTTGCAGACGGTGGTGAGCTGGTATCAAGGTCACTGCCAGTCGTGTCAGCACGAGCCTGAGCTGCAGGTGGTGGAGCCCACTGTGGGTTTGTCTACATCTGCACTGTGGCAATGTGTGGCCGGTCATTCGTTTGTGCAGTTCCTGCCCTGGCCTGCAGGAGGCGAGTCCGAGTCAGACGTGGAGGATGGTGTTATGGAGAAAGATGAAGAGGACAGGCCTCCAGAGAAGAAATCTACTGTCAGTGAGAGTATCAACACCAAAAGTAAGAAACCACAAAACCACAGGCAGCTGCAGGGTAGGAAAGCCTAACACTATGTTCATGTCGTTTTGTAGGGCTTCCCAAACTTTTTTTGTCAGCCGAAAAATATTTTCTTCAATAATTTAACGACGCATTTGCATTTTCACAGATCTCTGATCATGGTTAATGGTTACATGACATGCAAACAGGGTTATTATTGTTAACAAAAACTAAAACCATGAAGAAGAAAAAAATTGAAGTACTATAAATGTTTACTGAAAAAAAAAACTTTATCTTGTTTAATTTCAGCTGGTTGTCCAGTGTCAAAAGTGATCAATTTCTAATTTTTGTTTAGTTTATGTTGAAGTACTAAAATAACTCAAACTAAATAAATTAATAAATACTGTATACTATAGATACTGTACATTCTAGACATATAAATACTATACATTCAAAGAAAAGAAAAAAACGAATAAAAATGTCACACAAAAACTAAAATAACAGATAATATAAAAATAAATTATAATTCAAAATATTTACAAAAACTATAATTGTTACTAAAATAACACTGCATGCAAGTAAACAGATAAAATATTTAATCTTTTCAGTAAGTGTTTTGTTTTAATTGCATTTACCTTAATTATTTATGTTTGTGTATATTTTTATATATGATTTATATTAACATTTGCCATTTATATTGTATTATTATAAATTTTTTTTGTTATAATTAAAATAATGAGAGCAAAGTTTAAAAATTTCTCATTTTCAAAATTTCAAACCTTCAAGCTTTGAACATTTTATTTTATCTCAATTTTTATGTGCAGCTCTCCTTATTTATTTTTTAATTTACATTGATTTCACGCATTGTTTGTATGATTTCATTCATTTTTAGATTTCCATCAGCTTACTAACCCCCATTTTCCTGTCATACTGGATTTAACCTGCAACAGTGAATCAAATCTCTTCTTAATCTTACAGACGCCATCAGTGACTTGGAAGACAATGATCATCCTTCCCATGTGGAGCATCAGATGACATGCACATCCCTCAGTGATCTCCCAGGATCCCCTGCGGCCCACAGCAGTCCTCCCGCCTCGGAGCGCTGTCCATGGGAGATGGAGGTGCTCATGGACCGAGAAGCCCAGGCAGCTCTGGTTGAGTCCGATAGAAAAGTTTTGAGTGAGGATGCGGCGAGAGAGACTGACCCTGTCAGGGAGCAGACGGACGCTTCGGGAACTTTAGAGAAGGCGGACAGTGGAGGCGGCTTGACGGAGAGTTACGAATGTGTGGTTGTCACGGCGCCCTTGACGGACAGACAGGAGAGGGAGGATGTAGCAAGCTGTTCTAAAGAAGGTGGGGTGGAGGGTGTCCCATCGTTGGCAGCCGCCCCAGCGCAGAGCCAGCTGTTTGAGAGTCAGGACCTGCAGACTGTGATGGGCGGATGTGAGCTGCCGGATCAGCGCTCCACACTGGAAGGATCTCAAGTAGGTCAAAGGGGTCACAAGAGACCCTCTAGGGGGCCCACAAGATGACTTAAAATAATTTAAAATAAAACAAAATAGGCTTTGAAATAAAATTATGCGTAAAAAAACCTTCATCACAAATGACAAAAAATTATATTTAAAAAAAATTCATTAAATAATTAAAGTATTATATTTTATATATTTTATATATAATAAATATTATATATTTATATTATGAATAATATATAATATAATAATATATATATTAAATTAAATGAAATTTTAAAAAATTTAAAGTTATTTTATTTTATCTAGTTGTGAAGGCAACATTTATTAGAATTTTTAGTTTAGTTCAACGTGGAGTACTAAAATAAATAAAACTAATTAAACTAAATCTAAAAAAAAGGTTAAAAACTATACAAACATAAAAAAAACCGAATAAAATTGCCCAAAACATACAATAAATTTACTAAAACATAAATTAAAGTGGAAATAAGAAATATAAAATTAAAGTCTAATTCAAAATATTACCAAAAAACTTTTTATTTTTTTTATTTTTTATCAGTGATACCAAACTAACACTGGTTACTGAAACTTCTGGAATTTTCATTCTGGATTCATTAATATAATAATAATAATATATATGTATGTATGTACAGTATGTATATATGTATATATATATATATATATATATAAAATTCATTTAAAAAAACAAGCCGCTTCATCATTACAGCAAAAATACTAGAAATTTTGGGAGGTCTTCAGATGTTGTCTTTGACAGTGAGGGGCCTTGGACTCAAAAAGATTGAGATACTACTTTACTGTATACTATTTCTGCTGTATACTTGAACTTCACCCCAAAAATCTTAAGAAAAAAAAAATTTTGCTAAAAGAAATAAAGTAGTTTTTTTTTAGATCAAGTTATTTACATATTAAATCGAATTTAAATAATTAAATGTAAATTAAAGCAACCACAATAAATACAAATATAATGCATTAATTGTATGCTTATTTTAAATAAAAGGTGTGTAACAATATTTTTTGAATTAAAATCTAAGTTAAATCGATTCAACTTCATCCATTTTATGTGAATAAAAACATCAGTAATATTGGCTGCAATTAACTATTTGATAGTAATTTTTACATGCAGTTAGGCTAAAAATGCAAAATAAATGTTAATTTCTGAGATGGACTTACAAATTATATTTGAAAATGATTGCATAATGTGCTTTGTTTCACATACTAGCAGTAGGCAGTATGAAGTGTATGCTGTGCAGTATGCATTAAACAGTATGATACTTCTCCATTACAAACACAGCCCTTGTTATGTAATTGAGAAACCAGTTATTGTAAAGGTGTTTTACTGTTAAGCTGTTTCCTAGTATTGCATTGTAAGGCACACAAATTCCTTATTGCTTCCTTGCTTGATTTCCATTGTATATATTGACATGTAAACAAGTTCCCTATGGATACGCCACAGAAAGGGAACGTCCATTGTCACAACACGTCCCCTCATTTGACCGTTTGCAGTCAAATGGGTCCGTTTGCATATCTGGTGTTTTAAAAGGGTTTTAAAGGGAAAATGAAAATTCTGTCATCATTCGCTCACCCTCGTGTTGTTCTAAACCTGTATGAATGACTTTCTTCTGTGGAAGACAAAAGAAGATCTTTTGAAGAATGTTCGTAAACAAACATCCATACTATGGAAGTCAGTGGGAACCAAAATCGTGGGTTGCAAAAATTATGACAGAATTTTCATTTTGGTTGGAGTGAATATTGAATATCATATTCATGTGTCGTATGTTTTGGTTGTTACCAGAATAGTTCATTTAAAAAAATTCAAATAGTTATTAAAATAGTTGTTATTACTCCATTGCATGTTGTTGCAAAACTTTTATGACTTTCTTTTGTCTGTCACACAGTAGTTTTTGCAAGCTGCCTTTTCCCATGCTGTAAAGGCATAGCATTGTAATATCAATTTACATTATTAATAATAATCTCAATTTACATAAATGTACAACTTTTCAATTTTTTGTTATTTTCTCTCTCTTGGTTATAGTTTTAGTTTAGTTGTAGTTTTTCAGTGCTTTCTGGTTTATTTTTCCAGTATTTAGTTTTTATTTCAGTTTTATGGTTGTCAGAGTTACTGTGTTCACTGATATTATTTAAATATGTTTAAATATATTTCTCCCAGCTGTATAGTGACATTTTCAATTTATTGAGCCTTCATTCGATTTATAAAATGTATATGTTATAAAAAACTAAATTAATTCATGGTCATTTTCAGTTTTATTTGAGTGAGTTTAGTGGCCAAGGATTGTCAAATTGTTTTATTTTAGTTCTAGTATTTAAAGGCTGCAAAGTTCATGTTTTCATTGATATATTATTTAAATGCAATTGCATTTCTCACAGATGTCTACTGGCATTTGATGAGCCCTTATTAAAATTATAAAATGTTTATAATATAAAAACACATAGCTTATAAAAAAGGTTATACAGTTAACTTTTCCAATACACTGTGTAACTAAAACTAAAATTAATTCATGATCATTTACGGTTTTATTTTAGTGAGTTTAGTGGCCAGGGGTTGTCAAACTGCAAAAATCACCATAAAAATACAATACAAATAATTGTCAAAATTGTATTAGATGATAAAATTAACATTTATTTGCAGTAAATGTACAATTCAGAATTCGAATTTTGTTATTTTCTCTCTTTAGTTTAGTTTTTCAGTGTTTTCTAGTTTTAGTTTTTCGTTTAGTTTTAGTATTTTATTGCTGCAAAGTTGATGTGTTTGCTGGTATTATTGAAATATGTTTAACAGCATTGCATTTCTCGCAGCTGCCTAGTAACATTCATTAAATCTATAAAATGTTATAAAAACCTATATATAGGTTTTATAGGTTATAGGTTTTAGGTGGTCAAACAGCAAAAAGCACCATACAACTCCAATAAAACACCATAAAAGTCATCCAAATGACTTTGAAATTTGAATATGCAAAAATTGATTCAATTTGATCTATTTGTCACACGGCTCTCATATGACTTCAGAAAAGGCAAACAAGTTTTATGATACTTCAGTGGTACTTGACCACCACTGATTGTTCAGGATGTTTTATTTTTGTGTTCAGCAGAAGTAGAAACTCATTCGGTTTAGACAGAATTATCATTTTTAAAACTCTAAACTCTTTGGATTACCTAATTACATCTCTGTTTTTTCTTCCCTCTATCCTTCCTATAGCTGATCATTATTACAGGCCCAAGTTACGAGGCTCTGGCGTCTGAAGGCATTCAGTAATTATAAAATGTTTATAATATAAAAACACATAGCTTATAAAAAAGGTTATACAGTTAACTTTTCCAATACACTGTGTAACTAAAACTAAAATTAATTCATGATCATTTACGGTTTTATTTTAGTGAGTTTAGTGGCCAGGGGTTGTCAAACTGCAAAAATCACCATAAAAATACAATACAAATAATTGTCAAAATTGTATTAGATGATAAAATTAACATTTATTTGCAGTAAATGTACAATTCAGAATTTGAATTTTGTTATTTTCTCTCTTTAGTTTAGTTGTAGTTTTTCAGTGTTTTCTAGTTTTAGTTTTTCGTTTAGTTTTAGTATTTTATTGCTGCAAAGTTGATGTGTTTGCTGGTATTATTGAAATATGTTTAACAGCATTGCATTTCTCGCAGCTGCCTAGTAACATTCATTAAATCTATAAAATGTTATAAAAACCTATATATAGGTTTTATAGGTTATAGGTTTTAGGTGGTCAAACAGCAAAAAGCACCATACAACTCCAATAAAACACCATAAAAGTCATCCAAATGACTTTGAAATTTGAATATGCAAAAATTGATTAAATTTGTTCTATTTGTCACACGGCTCTCATATGACTTCAGAAAAGGCAAACAAGTTTTATGATACTTCAGTGGTACTTGACCACCACTGATTGTTCAGGATGTTTTATTTTTGTGTTCAGCAGAAGTAGAAACTCATTCGGTTTAGACAGAATTATCATTTTTAATCCCAGACTTCGGTAAACTCTAAACTCTTTGGATTACCTAATTACATCTCTGTTTTTTCTTCCCTCTATCCTTCCTATAGCTGATCATTATTACAGGCCCAAGTTACGAGGCTCTGGCGTCTGAAGGCATTCAGCTGAACGTGGCTGGCGGTGATGTTGAGGAGGTCACATGCACGCTGATCGGGGACGTGTCGTATAATCAGATGTGTCAGTCACGTCCCAGCGCCGGTACAGTGAGATCACGCTCCTCAACGGCCACTGATCTCTGACCTGTCCTGTAGTTCAGCTCTTAAACATATTATAATTGTTTCCATCTGATACACTACCGTTGAAAAGTTTGGTGTCAGTAAGATTATTTTTTAAAGAAATGAACACTGCATCAGTGTCAGGTCTGAATACTTTCCGTACCCACTGTATATATATATATATATATATATATATATATATAATTATAATTTTTTTTTTCATCTGATACACTACCGTTGAAAAGTTTGGTGTCAGTAAGATTATTTTTTAAAGAAATTAACACTGCATCAGTGTCCGGAAGGATGCATTAGTTACAAAAGATTTCTATTTCAGATAAATGATGTTCTTTTGAATTTCATATTCATCAAAGAATCCTGAAAAATAACATATATCATGATTTCCACAAAAACAACATAAAATGTTTCTTGAGCATCAAAAAACTAATTCTGAAGGATCATGTGACACTGAAGACTGGAGTAATGATGCTGAAAATTCAGCGCTGCATCACAGGAATAAATTACATTTTTAAATATATTAAAATAGAAAACTGATATTTTAAAATGTAATAATATTTCACAATATTACTGTATTTTACTGAATAAATAAATGCCGTTTTGGTGAGCATAAGTGACTTTCAAAAACCGTTAAAAGTCAGTTGTGTATATTGACTGACATCTGAATGTCCTAATTTTGTACACGCCTTAACCGTTATTGTTACGCCTTTTCACGTGCCTGATTTTCCAGCAATTAAACAACTCCTTATGATGGGAAATTGCAGGAAGTGATTTTGCAGCTGTTTTTCGTTGAGTTGGGTTGGGTTCTTCATACATGACCTCTAACCTAAAAAATATGGAAAATTGATAGAAACTACTAGTGAAACGTTTGAAATGATTAAGAATTCAATTTAATCCTATATGGTCATCAAGGCTGCATTTATTTTATTAAAAATACAGTAAAAACAGTAATATTGTGAAATATTATTACAATTTCAAATAACTAATATCTATGTGAATACATTAAAAAATGTAATTTATTCCTGTGATGCAAAGCTGAATTTTCAGCATCATTACTCCAGTCTTCAGTGTCATATGATCCTTCAGAAAGCATTCTAATATGCTGATTTGCTGCTCAGTTGCTATCAGTTATTACTGGTGCACAATTATTAAAAATGGTTCTTATTATCAATGCTGAAAACAGCTGCTTAATATCTTTGTGGAAACCAAATCATCATATTTTGTGCGTTATTACGTTACGGCGAGCTAAAAACTCCTCACAAATGTAAAAAAAATGTTATGCCGCTTTGTGTTTCACAACGTCGTGCTCTACGAAGTGAGTTGAAGTCCCTCATGGTGTGTGTTTGTGTGTCAGGTGTAAGCGGAGCCGGCGGGGTCCAGTAATCGAGGCAGACGGCATGCTGAAGATGTTCCACTGTCCGTATGAAGGCTGCAGTCAGGTGTATGTGGCCATTAGCAGTTTCCAGGTGAGCTCATGTGTGCGATGCATGTCTAATGAGGCTGCGGCTGGTGAATCCCTGAGAGCACCAACCAATGCCTCAGTACAACAGTCAAAAATAGAAGCTGGAAAATGATATACTGTGAAACACATTGATGTAAACCTGACCAGGTGCTTTGTCTGTTTTATTGTTCAAGTCAAAGGAAACGTTCTAATGCCACTTAAAGGGATAGTTCACCCAAAAATGCAAATTCTGTCATTAATTACTCACCCTCATGTTGTTCCAAACCCGTAAGACAATTTAAGATATTTTTGATGAAATCTGAGGGCTCTCTGACCCTCCCATAGACAGCAAGGTAAACAAAATTAACGACTTTATTCCTTATTTTTGTCTCTACTTCGTCACTAGTAGAGACGAAAATGTGGAATAAAGTCGTTATTTTAGTTTTCTTTGCGCAAAAAGTATACTTGTAGCTTCGTAACTTTAAAGTTGAACCACTGATGTCACACGGACTACTTTGTCGATCATCTTGGTGCTTTTCTGGACCTTGAACGTGGTAGTTACCTTGCTGTCTATGGGAGGGTCAGAGAGCCCTCAGATTTCATCAAAAATATCTTAAATTGTGTTCCGAAGATGAACGAAGGCCTTATGGGTTTGGAACAACACAAGGGTGAGTAATTAATGACAGAAGGTTAATTTTTGGGTGAACTAACCCTTTAATTGCTTGGTGCATCTTAGTAACCGGAAATACAATTTCCCTACATACAGGATGGGTTAAATATTGTAAACATTGGAATGTAAGTCTGCTAAATATTTATAGAGTTGGTTAATTTTTGCTTATCAGATTAATCGCATTGATAACGCTGCCCTGCATCATGTTGAACCAAATCCAATACGGTTTCTTACTAATTTTGAGGTGTTGATTGCGAAAAAAATAGTGCCTGTTTTGCTCGAGCACATCACACTTTCTCACAAAATATGATGCATTTTGTAGCATTTTTGCTTTTGACAATCATTTGTACAGTGAAGAGGTCATGTATTATTCTGAGGACAGTATTTTATGCCTAATCCTGATTTCAAGGTAAGAATTATGGGCGGTGACTGAAGAAAATGCGAACATGAGCCAGATGTTTTCCGCTACGTCTGTGGGTGTTTTTCTACATTCAGACAGTGACAGAAGTTACAGATTTGACACTAAATGGAATTGTACATTTAAATTATTTATATATATATATATATACAGTGGGTACGGAAAGTATTCAGACCCCCTTAAATTTTTCACTCTTTGTTATATTGCAGCCATTTGCTAAAATCATTTAAGTAAATTTTTTTTCCTCATTAATGTACACACAGCACCCCATATTGACAGAAAAACACAGAATTGTTGACATTTTTGCAGATTTATTAAAAAAGAAAAACTGAAATATCACATGGTCCTAAATATTCAGACCCTTTGCT